TCTGACAGATAAACAGACGGATGTGTCGTCCCCTCCACAGCGAAAATCTGCTCGCAGTATAGAGCCAAACTGACATCAGAGAGACCATGTGTGAACGCAACATGCTACATGAAACAAAGCACTATACGATCTTTCCTGGAAACACACATGATGACACAATGTAATAGAAAGCATCCATGCATTGATGCATACACAAACATGCAAAAACACATACAGAAGGAAGATCTTGTGTATAACTGTTAACAAATATAGGAGCAACAATCTACTCATGTCCGCAGTAGGCCTCAAGACAGAACATGCCGCTCATAAACACTGCATACGTATAAACACACAGATAGAAGGATGAAGGGAACGATCTAATGAACATTTGGGCTTCTGTTCATTCATTGATGAGCCATCAAAAGAGACTTTAATGTTGCACTCGGAAACAAAACCGACCAAGTCAAACGGCTCCGTTATTTAAAGGGTTCTTGTGATATAATAGACAGACCTGGACCTGTGCAGTCGGACAACCTCAAGCCCTCTAGACTAGTACATATACAGTTAAAGCAAAGGGCTTATGGGATGAGTTGCGCATTGTGTATTCTCTTTGAAGCTGTGTGTTGCATTGAGAGCTGAGCATGAGAGAATATGTGTGTTTGTATTATATGTGCAAGTGGGTTATATGAGTGAGACAAAATCCAATAATGTGATACACAGATTATCTAAATATAGACCTATAATTTGACAAAACAAAACACTGGCCTACTATTAGAGCTAGGGGATATTTTGAATACTTTGTAAATGTCTGAGTGTTAGTTGATGTGTTCAACCCCAATGTGTAATTATGGCTGGGTGACATATAGAATATTTATGAAATAGTTGAGATGACAATCTTTCCTTGTTTCATGACTCAGTTTTAGTAGCATCTTTGATTTTTCAAAGTAGCATCAGAGTTTGTTCAATTCATCTAGATAAATCAGAATCAATTAAGCTCTGATTCAATGATTCATTTGCATCACCACTCAAAAATGTTCATGAAAGTCTCCACATAATATTTTTTATTCCCAAAACACTGGCATACAAATAGAGCTAGGCAATGTAATAAATATGTATTTACAAAATATTTTATTTGATTCAATTTATCTATGTGAATAAGTTCAAATCAGTAACTTGTTTGTGTTATCTTGTCACTCAAGAACGTTAATGGAAGTCTCAGTATAGTGTTTTTCACATATTAAAATTTTTCAGTAAAATATTTGTAGGTAAATTTCAGTTTATTAGGATGTGAAGTTATGCTGATCCATATCAATGGAAAAAATTTTTTATTTAATAATATTTTAGCAGATTTAGGTTTTAATTAGGGCTGTCAAACGATTAATCGCGATTAATCGCATCCGAAATAAAAGTTTGTGTTTACATAATATATATGTGTGTGCACTGTGTATAATTTTTTTGTATATATATATATATATATATATATATATATATATATATATAAACACCCACTTGCATGTATATTTAAGAAAAAAATATTATTTATATATAAAATATTTATATATAATATAAATCTATATACAGTATATACACGAAATTATTTCAAGCATGTGTGTGTATTTATTTATATATCTAAAATAATTATACACAGTGCACCCACATATATTATGTAAACACAAACTTTTATTTTGGATGCGATTAATCGCAATTAATCGCTTGACAGCCCTAGTTAATCATTTAAAAATAAAAACCAATGTATTTAGTGCAGTGTTAATTCTTGCAATGATTTTTTTTGCAGATTTGGTTAAAAAAAAAAGATTGATCACTTTTGGGTAATTTCAGAGCAAATACATAAATATTGTGTTATATATATTTAATATCATTAAACGCCCTAAAATCACCCAGCCCAATACATCCAGTGCATAGGTATGAGTATTTTGGGGGTGAATCACTGTGGCCATGGCAGCAGAAATAACATTTCGCTCTTGTTTTAACGTAACATTAGCAAAATGCGACACGGCGATAGAAATTTGGGGCTGAACTCCATCTGAACTCTTTCACACACACATCACGTCAAACGAAATGACAAACATCATCCAAACATGTCATTCTGCAGAGAATACGGCTTTGTTGGAGAGGTGTGACAGAGCGTTATCTGTTCACAGTGACGCTTTCTGTAGACTGACAGCTCTGGCGCTATTTAACAGCTTTTTGGTAAGACATGATGACTTGAGTCTATACAATGAATGGAATAACGCCCCATAATCTAAACGATTTATATTAATACAACTTTTTCCATTTAATAAATCTTTCTTTTTAATTAAAAAATAAATCAGTTGTGTCCCCGAGAGATAATTTCTCCGCTGGTTCTGGGAGGCCATTCTTCAACTCAAAGCCTCGTAAAGACCTCCAGAGAGCAATACGTATGGAGAGCGCGAGAACTGCCAAGAAAAGATTACATGTCCATTGTCAGCTCTTAATAATTTGGCTTTCTGAAAGACCAAATAGTTTGTCAATGGTTTCTTTTATAACACACCTCACTGCCTTTGCTGCACACTAGTTAAATCCCTCTTTTGTCTGTCTGTCACACTATTAATAATGTCTCTCTCCAAAACACACACACACAGAGACCGAACGCGAGCAAGCATGAGAGAGAGAGACCTTTTCTACTGTACTGGGAGTGTGTGCATTGTACATTCGAATAGATATCGAACCATAACACAATAAAACTAGTTAAATGTGTCTGGTAAAACAGTGTTAATGGTGTGGAACACGAGCAGGCAGGCAGGGATTTGAAGTGATGCTGTTGCTCAGTGACCAATCAGCTCCGTCCGCTGCCCCGCCATCAAAACCTGGACAGATCTGGGTTAAACTCTGGCAAACGCACAGATCCGTCATTTAGAAAGACAGAGACTCATCTTACCCCTGTATTTTTGTGTGCGCACAGGAAGCTACCAATATAAACCTCTGCCACTGCCACACCAGCAAACCATACAAAGCCAAACCGCGCCAATAAACGTAATGTTTTTACATCAGCGTCCATTTATAACATCAGACAAGTGGAAAATGCAGTCTGTCTGCTCTGTCCTTTTACCCTGGCAGATTCCCTTTCTTAAAGGGATAGTTGAAAGCTCTGTCATCATTTACTCACCCTCATGTCATTCAAAACTGGAATACACAAAAAAATATATATATAATTTAAAGAAAGCAACATTGGACCCCATTGACTTTAATTGTGTGAGACATTTGTTTACATTTACATTTATTTGTTTAGCTGACGCTTTTTATCCAAAGCTTCAATGACTCGTAAATGTAAGTACCCATTGATGGCCTAAGACACGAAACGAGCGGTTTGTGTGAGAAAACGAACAGTATTTATATAGATTTTACCTCTTGTAATCACAGCCACGTCCAAGTGATCTGAGGGCGCTTACAAGAGGTAAAAACAATATAAATACTGTTCGTTTTCTCACACAAACCCCTCGTTTCGTGTTTTAGGCCATCAATGTTTACTGACATTTACGAGTCATTGAATCATGTTTAATTTGGACTTCTCTGTGCATGCTCTTTGAGGTGGACCCCATAGACCTCCATTATATGACTGAAACGAACGGTTTGACCTAAAAATATCAAAAATACTGCGGAAACGAAGACACTGACATCTTGGATTCCCTTGAGGTAAGCTAAAACATATCAAAAATTAATTTCAAAGTGAACTATCCTTTTAAAGGTTCTCCATGGAAATCAAAGTCAGTCCAGTGAAGAAGTTTGTATCAAGTTGATGATTTGATTTATATAATCTGTTTTCCACTTCACTTCTCATTGAGTCCTCTCGAAATTCTAATTTACATGACTGGGTGCTTAAATACACGGTGACTGGAGACTTCAAAGTACACGGTACTGTAAAATCTTACAGAATTGCTGCTGTCCTGAGAAAGCCTCTAATCTCAAAGGGTCTAAAATAGCAATCTTCTAAGAGACAGAAAGAATACCAGTTGTCAGAATGAAAATTGAAGGCGGCTCAAAGCTATTGTTTGGTTTCCCGCAGATTTTAGGCTCCTTAAAGAACATAAAGGGCATCTGACACAACTGTCAAGCTCATAAACAGGCGGTCTGCCTCTGCAACACCATCCAGCGCTTGAGTCATTATAAAGTATGGAGAAAAACTTTGCCCTGAACACACTTCACTACTCCAAACAACACAAACAGCTGTCTCATTTGAGCATAACTTCTGACCGACTGTAAATTCACAGCAGACTTTTATAATGTTGGCACGTTTCAAAGGCGAAAGCTTTCTTTGCTGCGTTTCTAATAAAAATGAAAAGTTGAACTGTAACAGCATGTTTACCGTTACAATATTTAGGCTGTAATGACAGGTTGACTTCTTTTGGTTACTGGCCGGATATCAAGTCATGTCGACTTGATTTATTCCGCCCTTTCGTGAATCAGATTGTGCCAATAGAACAAACCTCAATCTATGTGTGTGTGTGTGTGTGTGTGTCCAGTGCAGCAGGAAGAGAGTATATACAAGCTTCTGGACTGGAATTATGGAAGTGTGTCACACAATAAGGCAGAGGTGCAACTAAACAAGCACTTCTATGTTTTTGAATACAAAACAATTAGATTGAGAATAGCCTATGCATTACAAAAGTGTATGCCTAATCACAACATAAATTGCATGCTGCTTTTTAATTACTAAGCCATTGCACTGTAACATGAACACTAATTCAGACTGTGACCCCCTCATTTTCACAAATGCTTGATGCATTATTTAACGTAATGTATAGGCTATAAATCCTACACCTGCGGTCTTGTAAACATTCACCAACAAGTCTCAGAAATAACAAGACAGTCCATTCCTGCGTATTGTTATCATTTGATAAACTTTGAATTGGTGTGTTATGGGGAGATTAACGTGAATTGCATAGAAGTTTTCATGCAAAATGCTCAGTCCATGGTTTGTTATGAACATAGAGATGTGGACATCATCATCATCATCATCATCTCCTGTGTGGATCTCTTACCTCCACACTGAATTGCTGCTCCTCACCGTCCACAGCACATAAAATCCACAGCAAGAACTGCGCGCACAAGCAATTCAAGCCTCTTCTATTATTCAGTGTTAACAAAACCATAATGACCCGTATTTAATCGTTTTGGCTGCTTGCTTTTATTAATAGTCAATAAAAAAAAAATCAAAGAACAAAAGAAGGAATAATTCCCTCTGGTCTCAGTGGGTTGGAAACATTAGAGGCAGGCAAACAGTCGTCACGTCGCGAGATATAATAATAATAATATCATATCACTCCGGGAGGCTCTGCTGATCGCGTTGTTTGCTCCTTTAGAGTTCGTCTCGTCTTTGTCTCCCGGAGGCGCAGATGTGGTGATGATGATGCTCAGATAAGTCACATTTAGTTGTGCTGCTCCTCTTCTGCTCAACGCGATGGACTGCGAGTTTTCAACCATACCTCTCCCTTCTGAGCATGCGCACTGAGCTCCGCTCTCAATCCCACCTCAGCGGAGAACCCACGGAGAGCAACGTCACGGAATCCTAGATCAGAAACACACCACCAAACAACACCGAATATGTATTATTATTGATAATAACATTTAATAATATTATTCATATTTTATTATTATTGTTAGCAGTAGTAGTAGCAGTATGCTAACTAAAATTAATAATACATTTATTTTGTTATCAACTTTATATGTATATTAGTTATAGAGAGAGATATGATGTATATTCTATATACACAGTATGTAATAATTCTTTATCCTTTTGTGTTTACAAGACATCTTGGCTACCCTTCATTGGATGCCTTTTAACATGCAGTGTACCGTTCATGTCCACTAGAGGGCATTTCACTTGCTGTCTTACAGCATACAAAGAATGGGACTTCACAATTTACCCCACTTTTGAGGTACAAGTACAATGTACAACGGGGCTAAAGGCTCAACGAAAAATGTGCTTTCACTACTTCCATAGTGTATGCTTACAGAAAACATTGATGGAGCAACATGTTGTGTGTGAAAATAAATCATAAGTAGTTTGTTTAAAATCTCACCCCACACAGGGTGAAAGGCTAGCATGGGGCAAACGTCAAAGTACTGAAACAAATAGTAGCTAAAATAATATGTTTTTATTTTAATAATGTCTAAGTTAATACTTCAAAACAATCACTTTAGCAAAGTTTGTACTATTTTCTGTTTACTTTGATGAATAAAATAAGTCAGTTTTGTTCAATAAATATGTTATGTTACACTCTAAAAAATGCTGGGTTGTTTTAACCCAACATTGGGTCAAATATGGACTAACCCAGCTGTTGGGTTAAATTTTTACATTACATTTTTAACCCAACATTTCGGGTTTGTCCATATTTGACCCAAAATTGGGTTAAAACAACCCAGCATTTTTTAGAGTGTGTATATTTTTACAGTATTTAATATTTTAAATGAGCTTTTATCAGTTTTCATTTTATTTCAGTTTAAGTTTAGTACCTTTGTCATGTTATTAGCTTTTGTTTCTTAATATTTCTGATTTATTTAGGCCTATTATATAATCATTCTAATTATTTCTTAAATTAATTTATTTTTAATTCACTTTTAGTACTTAAGTACAACTTAATCATTTCTTTAAGTTTTTAATCTAATATTTATATTCTATTTTATTTCAGCTTTATGTCAATTAACAAAAAAAGGATTTTGAATAGTTTTAGTTTAAGGTCAACAATAACAACAACACTGACAAGGACAAATAACATTGTAATATGGTTTTGATTTCACTATTTTTTTGAAACATATATTACATTAAAACCTAAATAAAATATTAGAGAAACAGTGTACTTTGTTCAGCTTTTGTTTTTAAAATGTTCCACAATGTTGCCTACTTTATAACCGCAACCAATATGCAAAGCTGTGGAAGCGTGTTACGCCTGCTGGGCAGTTGTGCTAAAGAAAGAGAAATGAGCAGGTGCCATAAATTCAATTCTGGCATTTATCGTTGACACGCAATAGTGATGACATCCTAAACTAGAGCAATCACACATTTCAGCAACCATCTGTGCATCTTTCTCTTTCTCTGACCATCTCTCATTCTGTTTTTGCTCGCTCTGTACTTTGTACGTTAGTCTCTCTCTCTGTCTTGTGCTGTACTTCTCAGATAGAGATTGAAGACTCTATGGTTCTTTTGTTCCGGCGCTGATACTGTGCTGCCCCGTATAACCTTCCCTCTCAATATATATCACTTCTAATGTTGGAACTGCATCTGCTCCCCCATTCAGAACGCTCCTCTTTGACTGCCTGGTTCAAAAACGCTCCTTCTGCTTCCTTCCCAGATTAGCCAAAAGTGCTTTGAACAGGTTCAGGCTTCACATGTGTGGGTTAAGCATTTGGCCATTTCTCCTGGCGACCCATCATGCATCACTCTCTCCCTCTCTCGCCACTCCTATTCTTCTTTTCTCCCATCGCTCTTTCCAGCATAATCTCCATTTGCATTTCTTTTTCTTAGAGACATCAGGAACAAAAATCTATCTATCTATCTATCTATCTATCTATCTATCTATCTATCTATCTATCTATCTATCTATCTATCTATCTGTCTGTCTGTCTGTCTGTCTGTGTGTGTATTACACCCAATTGAACTATGTATCAAATGCACGCGAAGACTGCGTATGTACGCAAAAACTAATTTTCGCGTATAAATTCCACGACAACACGCAATGTGTGTTATAGAGATGCATTTATGTGAGAACAGGCTCAAATGATAGCAGGCTCAAAGGAGTAGTTCAATTTTAAAAAAAGAAATGAAGGTTTTTGATGAAAACATTCCAGGATTTGTCTCCATATAATGCACTTCAATGGGAACCAAACGGTTCAAGGTCCAAAAGACAGTTTCAGTGCAAACTGCTGAAAGGGCTTTAAATGATTCCAGACGATGAATAAGAGTCTTATCAAGCGAAATGATCGCTCATTTAAAAAGAAAAATAACAAAGTTTAAGTTTTATAAGCTCAAATGCTCGCCTTGCTCTGTTCTGTGATGCGCGTTCGTGACTCTCCTGTTCGAACTGGTTCATCAAAATGAACGAATCTTTTTCCGAGTCAATTCGTTCATTTAGTTCGTTGAATCAACCAAATAACACGAAAAAGATCGAACAGGAGAATAGTCTCTCTCTTTTAAACCTTGAACCGTTTGGTTCCCACTGAAGTCCATTATATGGAGAAAAATGTAATCCTGGAATGTTTTCATCAAAAACCTTAATTTCTTTTCGACTGAAGAAAGAATGACATGGACATCTTGGATGACATGGGGGTGAGAAAATTATCAGCAAAAGTTTTTTTTAAAAGTGAACTACTTCTTTAAGGTTTAGAAGCATGTAATTTCGTCAGAGACTTATGCAGATCCAGCAATGGCGCAGACTCACTGACAGTTATAAAATGCAGCCAGACCACAGGGTCAGATTGAGGTCAGACCTTACAGACTCTTCAGAAAGCCAGGCTTTAAACATCAGTGTAGAGATAATGTCTCCCTTGAAATCACAATATAGCCTCTGGTTTTAATTGGATGAAAAAATTTCGGGGCTTTTTTTTCGCATGAAAGTCTGGTTTTAAGTCCAGCTGTGGTTATAGAATGACTTTAGAGGACAGATGGAGTATAAAACAGCAAACATGTGCACAATAGCGCAACAAACACGATATTTACATAATGTGATTAGGGTCGCGCATAACATCCGGCCAATAAATCATCCGCGGTCTATAGGGTGTCTTGTCATCCATTTGTTGTAACGGGTTTGAGTGTGTTTGTGCGGGATGTATCCATGTGTCACTGTGCATATGTCAGTGGAAGAGTGTGTTTTGTTGTCATGACCGCAGACGTCAAAAGACGGATGGTCAGAGTTCCGGAAGCTGACACTGCCTCGGTCATTCTGGTGTTTGTGGATGCCGTCCAGGTTCCCGAACCATCTGTGAGGGGGCAAGATGCCCTCCTGCTGGGCTAAGTAAGGGTAATGAGACGCATTGTCCCCGGGCCCTGTCAGGTTCCTGCTGGAAGTGCCATCGTGGGATTGGCCGAAACATCAAGTGCGTGCCATCGTTCTAAATGTTAAATGCGTAATCAGAGCTGTTGAAAACAGGACAAAGGATGACACACATTTTCCTGCTGTGGCCCAGGGGAATGCCTCTACACTCTTAAAAGAAAAGGTTCTATAGAACGTCATTTTATGGATTTAGTTTTAATTCATTTGTTTTGTTTTAAATAATTAATTAAAAATTAGTTCATTATAGAACCCCATTGAAACTTTTATTCTGAGGCCGTGTGTCCACCAAAGCGTTTTTAGCCAGCTGAAAACGCCAGGCGCTCTGCTGAAGACGCCGTGCTTTGGGTGCTTGAGAGCGTTTTGTCAGCGCAGCGTTTTTTCTGTTGAGACGTTTCGTTGCTATGATACAGAATATCCGCTACACAGTTTACTTGTAACGGATTTCGCAGATCATTTGTTTCATACTAAAAAATAATTTTTCATCCATTTTGTTCGGTTAGCTCTGCTGGTTGATGTCGTTGTACAGAAAGAATGTTGTGACAGTTGGTCAGTGTGGTTTAGTCCCGCCCCTCCACTGTGATTGGATGGCTGGGTAAAAAGTGACAGTGATGAGCGCTACGTTTTATTCAAAGTTGAACATTTTTCTACTCCCGGCGACCAGTAAAAACGCTGGGCGCTCGGCGCTTCAGCGTGAAAAAAAACGCCTCGTTACGCTCATGGCGTTTAAAAAAACGCGGTGCTCCCATTAAAAGCAATTGTAAACATACGCCAGGCGCGTGAAAAAAACGCTTTGGTGGACACACGGCCTAAGAGTGTAAACTTATCATCCAGTTCTAAAACACCAGTGAACTTTAATATTTGTTTTCTTCGATTGGACTGAAAGCATGGCTTGTCTTGAAAAACGAAGACAATTTGACGGTCATCGTAGGAGAAGCCACACTGTAGGACTTTAAGTCAAATCTTCTGACACTGAAAGAATTTCATTGCAACTGTTATTAATTGGCTGTCTGCAAACATGTCAAACTAACGATCATATACGTCAGTCTCAGGTGGCCAAAATCGTAGGCTACAGTGTTAACCCGGATTAAAGGTGCAATATGTAATATCTGTGACTCTAGTGGCACCAAATGGTATTACGGTCTGTTTCAGAAACTTGACATTACCTCAAACAATGGTACGATTTTGGGGCACGACTGAACGGAGCCCCTAGGGGGACAAGGTGATGGAAAAACTAGGGGATGGTATCCATTTTATTTTCATTACAAGTTTTGTGTTTGTGAAGGCAAAAATTTGACATGTGAACACAAAACTTTTGCAAGAGAATGTAAGCTTCTTGCCAGTGAACACAAAAACATTGAAACATTGATGAACTTTGTAGGACAGTGTTTGGTAGACTTGGTAAACTTTGTTTGGAATTTATTTATTTATTCATATGCAATTCCACTTGGTGTTGCTAATGATTATAAACTACAAATCCTTTTTCAAATGGAAACTTCATCTCATTTTAAACATTTTTGGA